AAAGGGGCTATTATTAACACAAGTGATGCTGGGAAGCATGGCATTTGAGGGAGAGTAAATAAAAGATTTGTTAAGAGTACATACATCAAAAGAATATGGAATATTGTTTATCTGCTTACCACCAGACTTAATTAAGAAGTTAGTTCTTTTTACACCACTTTTATCTTTCATCTTATACAGTTTTTCCTTCTTTCTACGAAGCTTTTTAAGTTGAGGAGAGGAGAAACGATCAAATTTGACAAATAGTGTTTCTTTTGGACAGCAAATTTCAAAACAGAAACTTGCACTGTGCGTCATGAAGAGCATTTCCAATAGACCATTGCAAAATTTTATCGACAACTGCCTTCCTGGCACTATATTGACGATCGAATGGCCGGCTGACCAGAAAGAATTAATTCACAACGAGGAACTCTGTAAACGAACAATCCAAGAACGTATTGTTCAGAAAATGTGTTAAAGAAATTGGAGATGGATCGGACACTGATATGTATCCACATATATATATTTATGTGTGTGTATGTTGGTCTCTCTTTCTGTTTGCTCGCTTAGTCTGTGACCATTTCACTTGTATGAACTTGTCTCCTTTAACAACGTATATTCCCCTTATATTATATTATATATAATATGAGTGTTTGTTGACAGTCCGTTGCTTGGTGACATATATCCATATTATATGTGTGGTTGTTGACATGTCTGCTATATTTTGCTATGTATATATGGATCGATACTCCATTATAATTAGCCATTCATGTTAAGACTGTCTATTGATTTGTTCACACACATTCATATATATTTCGCTCTCACAATTTGTGTGACTTACACTTACTTACACTTTGGTGTGATACCACTTATTGCTTCTCCTTGTGTTTGGAAAATAGAAGTATCATCGCAAACCTAGTGGTCTTCTGATTTCCGCCTTCTTGCGTCAGGACTATTAGTTTCTCGACCAGTCCATAACAATAATTTAGCGACGAGTACATAACAGACACACACCACTGATTGAGGAGACTGTTAAATGACATTACACACCAGCTTATCACTCGAGTGGAACTCGAATGGGGAAATGATGAGTTTTTTGTTGGTCCGAGGGTAATATGGAGGGGATTGTTTGGAGATAAGATGGGAGAATACGGGCAATTGTGTAGGGGACTGTCTAGAGAGCTCAATAACATAACAGATATGCGAATAAAAATCCAAATCAGTGAGATGATAGTGTAACAATATATTATCAAAAAATGCAGTAATGAGTTATATTAGCAAAAAGGTTACTTGGATATACTGTTAAAGTCCACTGCTATAAATTATTTAATATAATCCACAGAAGCGTTCACTGTTGGAATCGTGTCTACTGTTAGAAGCTGTGTACCGGTTGTAGAGTTGTCTTCGGATAAGGATAATAGATTCCTGCAATAAATCCAAAGTATACAACACTGTATGAGCGGAGCAAGTAGACAGTAATGGCCAATGAGAAGGTGAAGCTACCAACAGTATAGTGTATTTCGAATTGTACTCGGAAGTTATATGTATTTAAACATGAATCATTTTAAACAAAAATCATGTACAATGTCTCTAATTTCAACAACTAACAAAAAGTGTACAGTCATATTGTTACGAACTCCACAATCGTGGGCCTAGCTAAAGAAGAGAGCAGAAAATAGAACAAAGTGTAGATCAGCTATTGAAGCCCTATGTTCCATTCGGAACCAAAGCGATCAGTAATATATATATATATATATATATGCGTCGGTGGTATAGCGGTTAGGACGCTCACCGACCATGCACATGGTCCGGGGTTCGATCCCCTGCCGACGAACTCATTTACCTCACTAAGCCAGAAATAATGCTGGTAAAGAGGAAAGGTTGGGCATGAGGCTAGCAACCCCATCCTGTAAAATTAAACACTGTTACACAAACTTCAAGCCACTAGCTTGAAGCCCTATGTACCACTGGGGAACGTAAAGGAATATATATATATATATATATATATATATAAGAAACTAAATTGTCAATGTATAACTTGGAATAAAACTGTATCAGTCCAAAGTGATAAACTTAAAAATTTAAAAAGGTACAGAATTTTATCCCAATGAAAATACAACAGCATAAACCGTCCAAGGAAATAGAATTTCCAAGTATTAGTTTGCACGGATTTGACTGGTTTCATATTATTAGAAATGATAATAAAAGAAAATCTCGATGGAAAATGGTTTCTCATTTAAATAATTCATAGACACGAATTTAAAACGAAAGAAAGCTTCTCAAGATGTCCAAGTCTACCCCCAAAAATGCTTATTCGCTTAATCATGAATTTAAAAGCGGTAGTGAAGCAGAAACCCTCCGTAACCGTAAACGGCTTTCGAAATCTCTAAGTAAAACGCGCTTCACCGCCAGCTTACGAGTACTATTTTCTTGCAAGTAACTATTCAACCAGCATGTGAAAGACGTGCTGTCGTTTTCGGTCACTTCAGCATGCATATACCAATCAACTTGTTTGCGTGGAGCTGAGTACGTCGGCCGTATCATGCGTCTGCTTGTAAAACGCTGCTTAGACAACACTATCCAGCTTGGATGTCGAAGAGAAAACGCACGTATGCCTTTAGTTCAGTAACAGGATATCTGGTGGACTAATGACATCCAGCTCTATTTGAATGTCATTCAAAGTCATACACAAAGTACAATGAAACCTCTCCAAGGAAGTAAAATCAAGGCACTTGGGAAAAGCTGAGACAATAGCTATCCAAAAGTTCAAGCTCACGCTATATATCCAAAAGAAATACATCCAACCATTGTCTTTACCATGGCTATCCTGAAATGCTAATTCTGCCAATAGTGATTATCCTATTACCCTTCTTGTCCATTCTTCCTGTTTATTTATGTTACTACTTTAATTTCAATCCTTAATTGCCTAAAAGGTTAATTTTCTAATTAATGATGTTCCTGCTATGTTTTTATCCGATCTTCCTGTTTATTTATTGTATTTTAGTCTGTATTTGCGATTTCATTAATCTAACCCTTGATCGTAAATAGTTCAGAAACTTCCCCCCACCCCCCCCACCATTTATTATACGTACACGAGTGTATAGTCTAATTAATATCCCTACTGAGGAGAAAATTTTCTTCGTTGCTACCGTCTTTTTAATATTTCCTGTGATCTAATGTGTACATTCCTTGATTTCATATCAGATCATAGATTGATATCATTTAGAGAACCATTGGAAAACCACCAGGGAGCACTGGGCAGTTGTTCCATCCTTGTTTAGTAAACTTCAGCAGCTTGACCAATGGAGTCACCCCCTAACCTGAAGTTCCTAGTTTCAATCTAATATGCAGTCAAGGTTGTGTACTTCTCAAGCTTTCCAAAGAAGAATGAAGTAGCTGTACAATACTCCTTGGTTTTCAATGCTTCTCTGTTATTATTTCTTTTCATTCCTAGAGGAACACAGGCATTCAGTCACGCGTCTCCAGTGCGTTCGGTTTTCTGCCAGCGTTTTTACCCTGCTCCGAGTCTGCCCACATGCTTTCATCTCCTCTTCACATGACCTCCTCCAAGTCACTCTTGCACTGACGACCAACTCGCCGCTTCCCTTTCAGGTTCCAATCGAGTGATGGCCTGTCGTGTGATGTCACTTGATGGTTTCCTCAGAGTATGGCCAATCCAATCCACCTACATTTCTTCCTGCCTATTTGTTTCACAATCGGTTCCTGGTGGGTTGGTTCGCTCATTGCCAGAGATCCCTGTTGCTGATCTCTTCTGGCCGGCCAGCCATCTGATCTTGAGTAGTATTGAGCGAAGACAACTGTTGATGAAGGTCTGTAGTTTGTTTGAGATGCTCTTTATGACGCGCTGGCCAAGTCTCTGATCCGTATAATAAGTAGCACTGACTGACTTCACGTTGGAGTTGAAAATCCGGATGTTATTTTTGATGGTGAGTGCTGTTGACCTCCACACAAACTTGGTTAGAGTAATGACAGCTTGTCTTGCTTTTCCGATTCTGGCTTTGGTATCCTGGTCAGTTCCGTCCGCAGGTAGGTAAAGGAGGTTTTTTCTTTCTGGTTCCTCCCATTTATGCAGGTTGTTGGCTGTTGTTGCTGTGGCTCTTGCTTTTGGCTAGGAATCTTCATCACCTCTGTTTTATCTATATTCACTTGAAGTCCTATCTTTTCTGGATGCTTCTTCTGCCAACCTGTTGCTTTTCACTTGCATATCTTCCAGTTTGTGGGGGAGATCAGACATATGTAACCATCGGCGAAGTCTACATACTCCAAGTTTTTGTGTGAGTCCATTTTATGTCTGTTTCCTCACTGCACACTCTGTGTCTCTCGCATTATCCAATCCATTGCAATCAGGAAAATCATTGGCGATAGTAGATAGCCTTGCCTCACTCCCGTCCTCACTTCGAAGGATTCCGTAAGTTTCCTGTTGTGGATTACTTGGCATGCAGCATTGTCACATCAGCAACTGTTGGATGAGATGTATAATTGTCGGTGGCAACCCGTAGTAGCGAAGTAGTTGCCAAATCACCTCTCGATCGACGCTGTGCTGTCGAAGGCCTTTCTTATCAGGCATTCGACACTTCCTCTGTGAGTGTCTTAAATCAACAGTCAATTACTTCATGAGCTGTTACCATGCTCTTTGTATGACCAATTTTAACTCTTTTCCAAACCTATCCTATGTCAGCTTATATTGCTTGTCGACGTTGGCAATCAGTCAGAACTACCAAATTATTTAGCAATAACAATTAAAATTAATAGAAAAGTCTTTTTTTTTAAATATCTTATATATATATATATATATATATATATATATATATATATATTGTTTTCTTAAACTGAAAGGGAATGTAAGAATGCAGAAACTGAAAAAATAATGGTGTTAACAAAAAAAATTTTTTCTTTTTGAGTACAGGAATATCAGTGTTTAATTTGTTTTATAAATGTGTGTTAGTTGGTTGTTTGTTTGTTTGTTTTTATTAAAACCAAAATAAATTCAATCAATAATTCTATGGTTCAATCATATGTCCAAGGTAGACAGGTATTTCATTATTCCATAGAATTATTAAAAAGAATGGATGATCAATTTTCATTGTAATCTCTGCTGGTTCAGGTGGTTTTTTACCGCATAATGGAGTGAGGTTACATGAGGATGTGCGCATTTCATTTATCTAGCCCAAAAAAAAACATGAAAAAACAGAAATAGAAAAAAGTTTTATGTTATTCTGACAATGTCAAATGTGTAACACGGGTGAGGATAAAAGTCACACAGCAAGGTGTGTTTCCGTGTATGGTATCGTAAATGGTGCAACAGACTCCATTAGGGATAAAGTCAAACACTGTTATACAAGTAATATCTACTGATGACCACGTTTCGAGCACAATTTACTGCTGCTCATAATCATATCAAGGCACTACTCACACAACTTTCTTGGTTCATTTATACACATGAATAAAATAAATAAATATATACATGAATAAAACGAATATAAGAAAAAATACATTCCGAAATAATATTAGTGTAACAACAGAAGACAAGGCCTGGCAACAGATCGTTTTATTACGGAAATCAGCACGTATTTATATATATTTCATCTACATTATTGTAGCTTATTTAAGCACACAGACACAGTCTTCTGATTGGTTGTTTCTTCTTTCTCGGAAAGTTAAGCCATATATTTGCGAATCATATTTGCCCGCGTTAAGTCTACTGTGATTGGTTGTTGAATCAGCCTTGTTCATATTTTCTCACAGCCAATATTGGTGACCTAGACATTGGCGTTAATTAATGTCTACCAATTGGCTAGCAGCCTGCTCTCACCATATTAGTATTATCAATAAAATACAAGATGTTTTGATAGTAAACCAAATAAATAACTTATTCAAGTGTTAGTTTGTAGGGATTTGATTGGTTAGAGGATTTCATCATGAGCTGACATTAGTTAGAGAACCAGTGGAAAACCAGCTGGGAGTACTGCACAGTTGTTTCGTCCTAGTATGGGACTCTTCATTCATCACTACGCACCTACCGGGATTCAAACCCAGGACCTTCTGGTTACAAGGCGAGCTCGTTTACTATTAAGCCTCTGGGACCCGATCCAATGGCTAGTCCATGAATTCCAACTTCTGCCAATTCACGACACAGTGAGACCGCTAGCCAGTGTCTTCGGCGAGTATTTGTCCTCACACCCGACCTGCTGCACCCTACTGGTCACGACTTCTCAATAGAACTCCAGGTAACTAACTACTTGAATAGGGCAAGTCGCCCTATTCAGGCAGAAGTTAGAATCCATGGGTCATTTTATCGGGTCCCAGTGGCTTAATGGTGCCCGAGCTAGCCCACCTTGTAATCAGAAGGTCATGGGTTTGAACCCTGATGATGGGTGCGTACTGCTGAGGGGTCCCAAACTAGGACGAAACAGTTGTCCAGTACTCCCAGGTTCTCCAATGGTTTTCTAACTAATGTCAGTTCATGATGAAATCCTGTAAGAAGTAAATAACTTGTTAGAATGTTATATTGTGAAATGAAAGACATTTTAACATTATTTATTATCTCCTGATTTGAATGGTGGTAATAATATCTTCCATATCCCTGGTATTTGCGTTGAGTCACTTCTACTGCATGTGTTAGGTGTAGACTCGATGAACCAGGATTCAGTAATCAATCTCTCTTTCTCTCTCTCCATCCACCTATATTACTTCTTAAAAATGTAACTCACTTCCACCCTATTATGTGTTTTTGTGTTAAAGCATGCCGTACGTGCAGTCAATAATTCTAACCTTAGCTAGCCGCTTATGTTCGGATAATCTGACTACTTCCGGTCTACTAGTTTGATTTATGTGCTCGAAACGTGGTCATTAGTAAATATTACTGTATAACAAACACTGTGTGACTTTATCAAAATAAAATTTTTATCCATAATGGAACTTTACTTCACCACAGTGCCTCAAGTTTTATCCTTATATGAACAGTGCAACAGATATTTTAGCTGTTGAAAAATATTCGTAAAATACCATCAAAACAGGCATATGTAACAAATGAAATGTTTGCAGTATTCCTCTTAAACTCTTAGTGTAATTTCTCGGAAACAACGAGTTGTATATCCAAGGATAAAATGGTTGGAAATAATATAACGCCTAATTACGCATGATTATAATGCCGTATAAAAATTACGACTGTACAGCCATTGCGGCTGAAATTGTTGAAAAGATATCTTAGTTAAACTTTTTCTCTTCTCTCTAATAACCTGATAGGTGTTTCTTATGATTGCGAATACTATACTATAGTGAAATTGATCTGTAACTTACAGTGATTGATTCAAAATTTCGCGGTGACTGTTTCGGAAATCTTCACTGTGAGGAATATATGCTGATTGAAGCTTCCTGGAACTTAAACATTCATTAGGCATCTAATAATGAGTGCATCTGAATTATTGAGTATGATTTTTAGCCGTGTCGCCGACAACTTCTAGTCACTGGCATCCCGAGGAGTCTAATGAAGCAGTCTACACTTCCCTATGTGGTTCAAATTAACAATTAATGACTTCATAGATTTGACTACTTATAACTCTTCATCCAACCAATCTTTTGTCAGATAAGATTCTTTGACGGCAACGATGACCGCTTGATAAGTTTCATACATATCCTAGCAATCTCTACTGATGCAGTTCCAAAATCCCATCGATCGACTTTCTTACATACCTAACACTACACAACCAATCAAAACATGACTGGATGTATTTTACAAGCTAATAGTAATCAAGGAAGGTAAACAAAAAACCTGCGGTCATATATGACTGCCATCTTCATACATTCCATTTGCGAAGGCAGTGTCTCACAGACATGAAGAAGGACAGAGTGCAGTGTTGCTCAGTACACATAATCTAACAATAAACTCTGTGTTTAGCTCTAAAATAACGGTACAGTAAGTTATCCCTATTACCTTCAAATTCAATCAGACTTTGATGTCATTTAGAGAGCCGCCAAAAGACAGTACTGGAGTGTTGTTTCGTCCTAGTTTTGGATTCTTCAGCACTAAAAACCCAGGACCTTTAGGTGATGAGGCTAAGCTTGTTGATCGACTAGCCTCTTGGTCTAGAGTTCAATAACCCATGAATTTTAACACCTGCCAATTCGCCAATGTCATTGGCGAGCATCTGTTCTCACATGCAACCTTGTCGATCTTAGTGGACAAGACTTCTCACCAGTAGAACTCTAGATAACTTCGTCCTGTAGCCAATAGTGATGAAGAGTCGCAAACTAGGACGAAAAAGTTCTCCATGGTTCATTTTCATGTTTCTTTTTTTCTTTAGTACAAAAATCAATCAAAGCGTTAATCAATAAAGACATTTTCATCATCATCATCAACAACAACAAAAAACACTTACTTCGAAACTAGCACAATGAAATATTTCAGAGATAAAAACATTATCATTTAGTGAACTGGTCATATTAGATAAATTAGCTGACATAATATCAAATGCATCATTAATGTTCATGCGTTGTAATAACTTTTTAATACTAATTAAATCATTTAATTTTATGCATAGCTTAGGTATGTATAATTCCATTCTTAATGAATAAAATGGTGATTCCATTAATTTTACAAATCCATTTGTACTACGCAGTGTATTGATTAAGCCTGGCAGACCATTCTCTTCATCTGGTAATAAAATCAATACTGTCCATCTACAAAACAAGAATTATAGTTATGATGACTTACTTAAGAAACGAGTGAGTTTATCTATGCATTTTGAATGAAAAAGGCGTTTATAGTTCAAAGACAGTCATTAAATAGTGTTACCACTTTGATTTGACACTAGTAACTAGTGTGATGCGTCTAGTCCTTTGATTGGTGTAGACTGAATTCTATCAGTCAGGTTTGCAATGTGGCCACCATTCTAGCTAGCTCGTCATCACGGTGCACATTGATTTGATGGTATTAGATGGTTGGAGGCAATCGACCACAGGAAGTCTTGCTCAACCTAGGTTTCGTGCTAGTTGGCACTCGTCAGCAAGGCGTATCTGCAACACTGAGGGAACTCATGTCCCTTCTAAGATTCGAATCCGCGTCAACCAGTGCTGCAGTCAGAGACCTTAGCACTGAGCTAATTGGGCTCGCGATTGACCTCCTGTAGGACTGTAGTGGATATTTTGATTTGACACTAGTAATTAGTGTTAAACGTCTAGTCCTCTGATTGGTGTAGACTGAATTCTATCAGTCAGGTTGTAATGTGACCACTATTCTAGCTAGCTCGTCATCACGGTACCATTTACTTATTATTGACTAACAGTGAAATTTTTTGTGGCCAAGTGGTCCGGTGGGAAACTCTTTAGCGTTTAAAATGATGGGACTCTGAATTTGAATCTCACTGAGTACAATATCACTTCCTCACTGGGTCTTAGATAGGAGGAAACATGTGCCTTGAAGTCTTCTGCTAATCCATTCTGAGTGTTGAGTTGTCTGTCAATAGAGACAGAGCACTCTGATCCAATGAAAACAATCAGCGGAAATTTTAAAAATGATGATTTCGTTAAATGAGAAGAAGAAAATAATACCTAGCAGATACTTTTATGGGCTATCCTTGAATAGAAAAACTTGAAACACGTCATAAATGATGTGTCTCTTTAAATAGATTTCCAAAAATCTAAATCTTACGCATTTTGCTCAGTTAGTGCAAAAGATTTCCGAAGGGATTTCAGAGTGATGAAGGCTTTGCAACTCCGGTCTTGACATCTTCATACGTTCCACCTGTAGTTGAAACGACGCTTTCTAGATAAGTGAAGGCAGGAAGTAACGTCTGTCAAATCTCTCTCGTTGATAGTGTTTGATGTTGGTTGTTGTTGCTGTTGGTTGATTAATTATCTTTCTCACCTCCCTCTTCTCTATGTTCACCTGGAGTCCCGTCTTCGCTATCTGCCTCTTAAGCAAGCTTTTTGGTTTTCGCTTGCAAGTTTTTACTTTTGTGTGACATTAAACATAAATCATCCACATGCGAAATCCAGACCTGCTAGAATCTTCTTATCGGTGGTGGTCCAGAGCCTTATTGTCTTCTCGTATTTTCAACATAAATGTTGAATCAGTTATTTTGTCTATATGGTTCAGAAACTTGCACCGCGCTTTACCAAAAGCATTTCCAAAATGCTGCAGAATTTTATCAACAGCAGCCTATTGCTCTTCGTATTGAAGATCAAACAGAGACGAAAAACTATAGGAACAAACTAAGCAAGAAGAAGAATCTAAGATAGGACTTCAAGTGAACAGAGAGAAAACAGAGGTGAAGAAGATCCCTAGCCAACATCAACAGCAACAACAGACAACAATCAGCCAGCATAAATGGAAGGAACCTGAAAAAAACAACCTCCTTTACCACCTACCTACCTGGGGAGCATAGTTTCAACTACAGGCGGACGGAACTGATGAGGATATCAAAGCAGCGGGGATCGGAAAAGCAAGACAAGCTGTCATTACTCTAACCAAGTTTGTGTGGAGGTCAACAGAACTCACCATCAAAATAACATCCGGATTTTCAACTCCAATGTGAAGTCAGTCAGTGCTACTTATTATACGGATCAGGGACTTGGCCAGTGCGTCATAAAGAGCATCTCAAACAAACTACAGACCTTCATCAATAGTTGTCATCTCTCAATACTACTCAAGATCAGATGGCTGGCCGGCCAGAAAAGATCAGCAACAGGGATCTCTGTCAATGAGCGAACCAACCCACCAGGAACCGATTGTGAAACAAATAGGCAGGAAGAAATGTAGGTGGATTGGATTGGCCATACTCTGAGGAAACCATCAAGTGACATCACACGACAGGCCATCACTCGATTGGAACCTGAAAGAGAAGCGGCGAGTTGGTCGTCAGTGCAAGAGTGACTTGGAGGAGGTCATGTGAAGAGGAGATGAAAGTATGTGGGCAGACCTGGAGCGGGGTGAAAAGTTGTCAGAAAACAGAAGGCAATGGAGACGCGCAGCTGAAGCCCTATGTTCCTCTAGGAATTAAAGGAAATAATAATTCACTTTGTAACATTCCTTTGTAATTCTAGAATATTTTCTCCTAAATTATGTACAATGCATACTAACTAGCTTGACAATAGCTTCTAGTTCTTTCCGTTATTCTGCTTTATCACGTGATAATAATATCCATCATCTTTAGCGCATCAATAACCACATTATTTCAATATTTTGTATGCTGATACCTAAATTATTTATTTTATGGTTGTATGAAGATGAAAAGAACCAACGAAATATAATGACGTCACTTTCTCTTATACAATATGTCCTTTTTTTGCTATGTTAAAACTTTCCAAGGGAAGCAGTTATATGAATTATTACTGTTTTGTATTTCAGTGAGATAATCTTTCTAACTGTTATTTAAAAAAAAATGTATATAGAATGATTTTAATGCTGTCCACAGAAAACAGAAGCTGTCAGTCAACCCCAACAGAACTAAAAATAGAAATTTTCAGTAGGTTTTGTCGTAACTGCAGAACACAGTACTCTATGGCAACGGAATTATTTATTGGTGACTCGAGAGACAGATATAGATAAACTATGTCTTGATGATATATGAGATGGTTGGAGGCAATCGGCTACAGGAAGCCTTGCCTAGACCTAGGTTTCGTGCTAGTTGGCACCCACCAGCCAGCAAGGCGTATCTGCAACCTTGAATGAACTTAAGTCCCTTCTGAGATTCGAACCCGCGTCACTAGTTACTAGTGTCTAATCAATGTATCCAATATAGTCTTAAAGGAAGGAGGTTAATTGCTACCCTGAATCGCTCAGTGGTAACGCCTCTGGCTGCAGCACTGAGTGATGGGGATGCAAATCTCAGCAGGGACATGACTTCCTTCTCGCTGGCCGGGGAATATCAACTAGCACGAAAGCTACGTCAAACAAGGCTGCCTGCAGACTGCCTCCAACTATCTAATATATCATAAAATCAATTTGCACCGTGGTGGTGAGCTGCCCAGAATGGTGGTCATATTGCAAACCTGACTGACAGAATTCAGTCTGCACCAAAGACAGGACTAGACACATCACACTAGTTACTAGTGTCCACACCAGTGTCTGGAAACAATTGGTGATATGGCTCCAAATCGTTGTCAATGGCTGGTGCAGATGCATCCACTCCTTGTGACTTATGATTTCCAATGAAACTGTTTTGTTCTTCATTGTTACTATTCCTTTCTCTCATACCTCTCTTTACTGTCTCTATTATGCATTTCTTCTACTTTCTTCTCTTGCTTTGTGTGATACAAGGAGTGGAGTGCGGCGACTTAGACTGCCGCACATCGGTGCAAACTTTTATGTCGTAAACAGACAGACAGACAATCAACGTATAATCTATGTCTACCATATTTCAGAATCTCAATCAGCTCCTTCCTTCAGTAGTGCGCTACTTTTATTCTCCATACTTTGTTTCTTCGTCTTCCTTTTATTTCTTGCATGTCCAGTCATTCTCTTCACCGTTAAATCCGTCTCTCCACCATTCGATATTCTTGAAGATGATATAAATATTTATATACTTGTCTGTATACTACTTACAAATGTTGTCAGTAGCACACACTACAATGTGATTGACTAATTGCTAAAAATTTAAATCCATGAGACAAGATATTTCATGTATCAATTGACAGAAATCCTTAGACATACTTGTCTGTGCTATTTTGTAATTCAATTAAGAAGTGATTTTCGTAAGCACTTCTAACTACATCTTGTACTGAGGATCACGCAAGATTGAAGTGGATTATAGTAGCAGTGATGTCTTGGTCAAATAACTGAAATTGAGATGTGCAGTCAGACAGACAACAGGAATAGTCACAGTAGCGGTAGCACTGTTAATTTATTCATTAGGCAAACTCAAGTACACTACTCAAAAAGAATTTTCATATTGTGAATGGTATTAAATGTTGTCAGCAGACCAAGTGGTTTGGGAATAAGTCAGCTGGTTACTACTGTAGTTGGCCTAAAATTCATGCTAGAAATAAGCTACTGTAGGACCTTCAACAGCCACTCTATGAACAACTGTCCCGCCTTGCTTCTCATCAAGTAGCAGGACTAGCAGTCGTTAGACAATACTATATACTCGTACAAACAAGTACAGAAACTCAACGATATCATATTTGGCCTGCCGTGTATTTGACAGAGTAAGTGTTAAACATGAGAGGTATAACTTGCTGTGTAATTAGCAAAATAAATTGCTAACGATGGAGCAATAACTTAGCAACGACGAACAGCTTTCACAACAATCAAAAATGCAACACACAAGCTGGATGGAATGCATAAATCTATGCCTAACAACATACATCCATTTCAACGGCCAAATATATGAATAAGTCAAAGGAACACCCATGGGATTGCCAATATCAGGTTTGATTGCAGAAGCAGTGATGCAAAGGCTCGAAAGCATAATTCTACCAAAGATCAAACCCAAGATTTGGATACGCTAAGTCGATGACACATTTGTAATAATCAAAAGAAACGAGTTAGATAAAACTCACAACTTAATAAACAACGTCTTCAACGACATCAAATTCAGAAGAAAAGAGGAATCCGAGAGCAAAATACCATTTTGGGATGTCTTAGTCAAGCGAACAACCACAGGGGAATTAGAAACTCAAGTTTATATAAAATCAACCCACACAGACCAAATCCTGAATTACAACAGCAACAATCCAATAACACACAAAAGGAATTGTATACAAACACTATTCAAGAGAGCAAGGACTCATTGCAGCACTCCCACCTTAAGGAAAACTGAAGAAAAGTATCTCATGGACGTCTTCCAAAAGAATGGATATCCACGGAATTTCATCAAAAAACATCTACCCCCAAGCCAACCTATCAAACCAAAAGCCCCCAAGGAAAACACAAAGAAAATCGCCTTACCATACATAAAGGATATCTCAGAAATAACTACAATACTCTTCAAACCTTTAGGAATTGATGTCCTACACAAACCAACAAAGTCACTTCACTCAATTCTATGTCAACCAAAAGACTCAACAAAAAAAAGAACAAAACCAACATCATCTACAAAATGAATTGTAACAACTGCGAAAAACACTACATTGGCCAAAGTGGACGTCCCCTTCGTCTTCGTATCCACGAACATAAGTTAGCCGTCAAAAGACATGATATCCACTCCCTCATATCACTATGTACAGTCAACCACGGACATCAATTCGACTAGGACAACCAGCGTTCAAATATTAGACAGAGGAAACAACAAGAATGCTAGAGAATTTTTAGAAGCTTGAAAAGCATTCCAGTGAATCATCAATCAATAGACACATCGAGATAGACAAAATTTATCAACCGATAAGAAAGAAACCTCACACACACAGGGTCAGAGTTCAAGTCAAAGAAACAATCAGTTCCAATACAAGCAGCCTAGAGAGTGTGAAAACACACAAAAACAACCAATCACGTCCAAGTTCACTCACCAGGAGAGATGGTCAATAAACTCGTGGAGAAATGTAAAAGCTCACTTCAAATTGAAGTATGCGCTGAAGATGTCGCCTAGTAAGGTGATGAAAGCTTCGCAAATCAACCATCCAGCTCAGACAACACAACCACATCAAAATAAATTGCTCTTTGATCTCCTCCAACTTGTAATTTAGAGTGACACCTTCTGCCATTATTTTATAGATTTAGTTATCATTATTACCTTTTTATACTTTTGGTACATTTTTGAATTTATTGTTACTCTGTTAATGCTAAAATGTTACTGATCAATTTTGGTTACCTAAACCAATATAAAGTTCTTTTCTGTTGGGTAAATCAGATGCACTATTCTATCAAATCCTGGGAATTCCATGCTATATTATAAGTACCTTTCTTTCATGTTCCCAGTGGAATATAGGGCTTCAAGCTAGTGGCTTAAAGTTTTAGTAGCAGTGGTATTTATTTTAACAGGATGGGGTCTCTAGCCTCAAGCCCAACCGTTCCACTTTACCAGCTTTTTATTACTGGCTTAGCATGGTCGGCACGCGTCCTGACCGCTGTGCCACTGATGCATATATCATAAGTACTGATTTGCAATAAAGCAAATAATAATAATTTTGATAGCGTTATTAGAAGACGGAGATTATCTGAAAAACGATGTGATGTATTTGCGCTATACATTTCGAACAATCTGATCACACATTCACTTGTCAAGTCAATATATATGGAAAAGTTAGATTAAACAAAGTGACAAAAAAAGAATTAAGGATAATTAACACAAACGTTTGGTAATCCAATCAAATAAGGATTACCAAGGTAGGTTAATAGTAATAACAAACTGTTCTTGAGTACACAAGGGGAGGGGGGCTTAAGTTTATGAATAGCTATAGCCTCAGCGTATTTCAGTAAACGCCCTCGATCGTTTTTATAGATGACCTTAAAGGATGAGTTAACATCAATCTTATGGTTCATCTCGACTACCATAACGATTACCATATAACGGGGAAATAAACAGTAGGATTGTGAGACAAAGGTTGAATTCGATCATCCGTAGAACCTAATATGCAGCCCAGCTTGTAATTGTGGAAAAAGTTAAAAATATGCTTCACTGTAAACCTCAAAAGTGCACAAGTGATTATAGCACATCCCACAGAATTTACCAATTTTCGTTTATGTGTGGACATACATACATATGGAGGAGTAATCGCGCTTTGCGCTTGAGGGTGGGAGAGCATATCCCAAAATGGTTAGACAAAAAAAGATGAATTGTGACAAGCCAATAGATGCAGGTGTCAGACTACCAACTTCGTCTATAGCTAAACGTCTAATCGAGATGAACCATAAGATTGATGTTAACTCAGCCTTTAAGGTCATCTATAAAAACGATCGAGGGCGTTTACTGAAATACGCTGAGGCTATAGCTATTCATAAACTTAAGCCCCCCTCCCCTTGTGTATTCAAGAACAGTTTGTTATTACTATTAACCTACCTTGGTAATCCTTATTTGATTGGATTACCAAACGTTTGTGTTAATTATCCTTAATTCTTTTTTTGTCACTTTGTTTAATCTAACTTTTCCATATATATTGACTTGACAAGTGAATGTGTGATCAGATTGTTCGAAATGTATAGCGCAAATACATCACATCGTTTTTCAGATAATCTCCGTCTTCTAATAACGCTATCAAAATTTATAAAAGGGACTAATTGTTTTAAATAATAATGATAATTATTATTATTATTATGTTATTCGTTAGTTAGGCACAACGCGACTGATCTTTACTCGAACTAGATTCTGTATTGAAGTTGGTTTTTATTTTCCAAGTGTGTGTGTTGACTTCGGCCATATATATGTAAAGAAAATATCCACCTAAACTGCTGGAATTCATGAATAATAATGATATATTTTCATAACACTCAAATTTCAGACTTAACTGCAGGTATTTTGTCTACATACAGTCCAGTTCTGTATTACTCAGTGATGAAATTCATCCTAATAACTAGTAATCCAGATTTTACTTTTGGGGGTTAGCTGGCGGCGGAATATGTACTAGAAGATGACATATCAACAAAGACTAAGCAGCGTAGTCCAGCATAATCAACTGATAGGAAATCCAAAATAACTTGATAAAACAAAACCTGATATGCGTTATACACATGAAACTGATCACAGCTTCCGTTTAAATGACCACGAAAATTCTTCCTGGTTCGATCACAAGTTGACATCAGTCGGGGGACCATTGGAAAATTTGGACTATTCTCCTATGACACTGACTGGCGGTTACACTGTATCTGCTGCGAAGTGGCAGAGGTTGGAATCCAACTAGCCGCTGGATCAGCTCCCGGTAACTTAATGGTCTAGGAGCTTGTTTTGTAACTGGAATGTCCTGGATTCGAACTCTAGTGGGTGGGTACTGACGAAAAGTTGCAGACTGTGACGAAACAGCTGTCCAGTACTCTATAATGATTTCCAGTCATTCTCTAAATGATGTCACCTCGTGGTCGAACCTGTAACTCAATTTTTCCAAGATAACCCTATATATATATATATATATATATATTAAGCCACTGGGACCCGATCCAATGGTCCTTGAATTCTAACTTCTGCCAATTCACGACATAGCGCGACCCCTAGCTAATGTCTTCGGTGGCGAGTATTTGTCCTCACACCCGACCCGCTGCACCCTGCTGGTCACGACTTCCCACTGGAACCCAGGTAACTACCTACCTGAATAGGGCCAGTTGCCAGTGAGCATCTCATTGATATTCAAATGTTGGTTTGTAGGGATTCGATTGGTTTCAGGATTTCATCATGAGCTGGCTTAATGGCATACGAGCTCGCCTTGTAACCGGAAGGTCCTGGTTCGAATCACGGTGGGTGCGTACTGCTGAAGAGTCCCAAACTGGGACGTAGGAAACAGCTGTCCAGTACTCCCTGGCAGGTTTTCCAATGGTTTTTTAACTAATGTCAGCCCATGATGAAATCCTGAAACCAATCAAATCCCTACAAACCAACACTTGAACATTTTCTTTAGTTACTTAATCTACTTTTTGTTATGCTCTTTCTGGCTAAACCTTTTTCTATGCACAAAGATATATATACACAACTCTGTTTTTTGTTTCCAAGCCTAATTGTCTAATTATTTATAAATAGTCAGTGTCTGTAACTCCTAATCAGTTACATCATTCCGGACTAATGTTACTTTTACTTCCTACCAATTACTCCTTCTGATCGTGGAAAAGTATGTTCAGATCTTTAATCTAATTCATATTTTTTATCGTTTAGGCTGTAACCAGTTGAGAAGAATCCTCGAAATAATAATAAAAGATGAGCTCATATTATCCTGGTACAATTGTTTTTCTTGCTTTGTTCATGTTAATCTTCAGACACATTGACAAAGCGTTAGAACAAGGAGCTGATATGTGAACAGTTGATGAACATTATCAATCTAACTGATCAGTGGATAGATTGAAAATAATCTCAAGTAAAGCAAATTATTTGTGATATCAGTGACAATATTTTTTAATTGAAAAATACGAGAGAATAATTAATGCAGAAACAGGTTGGCATCCACACCTGTTCTATTACCAAATTTATTCATTTTTTTTATGATAAAAATGTAACTGTTTTGGTTTTGTTTTATATATATATATATATATATATATATATATATATATATATATATATATATATATATATATATATATATATATATATACTTACTGTGAATCTATTAATGGTATTTTTACACCGCATGATTTAAGTTCAGGAAATGTAGCTGATTCAAATTCATCAATTGTATGGTAAAAAGTGGTATTTTTACTGGAACCATTAAGTTTGTGAAAACTGCATGTTTGTTTTTTATCTTCTTCAAAAACATGCTTCCATAATCCTAATAAAGTAGTATAACAAGGAAATCAATAAATAAATAAATAAATATACGAAACTAATTTTGTCTTTTAAATGTTTCTACATTAATGAACATCTATTTCTGACATATATGTTTTTAAGCATGACTAATGTAATAAATAACATCTTAAGGTGTGTAGTCATACATAGGATTCAATACAGCCCCGTAAAAACAAACGTGGAAAAATTAGTACAGATGTGAAGATGTGGAACAAAGAAACTGGCCTAGACTTGATTCAGCTTCAATGCAATAAACAAAAATCCTATTCATCTGAACAGAGAAAAAAAACATATTTCGCAGGATAACACTGTAACGACAGAAGATAAGGGCCAGGCAACACATCGTTTATTGAGGAAAACCAAGAGATATTTATAGATTTTTATGTACATTATTATTAGCGTTATTGCTGGCAGTGAAGTAACGTCCTTTGACTGATTTTTCTTGCTGAAGGTTATTCTGTACTGCTTGTGACCGTTGCTTACAAAGTTATCCATATATCTGCGAGTCCTATTTGCACATATTATATCTGCTGTGATTGGTTGGTGAGTTCGTCAAGGTAAATTGCCGTCTACAATTTTGGCTTGCAGACAGCTATAACCCTCAATACGACCTCGTTTTTATCTGTCTAGCAAACATAAAAAGCTTTTCCGTCCTATCAGATTATCATGTTAGCTTCAGTCATCGCCTGTTAAATCAATAAAAGTCTGTCAACTCAGCGTTATCATAAATAGTCTAACATTCCTAGCATTCAGAGTCTGTTCCTCAGAAAGTCGATTGAATATTTTGGTAAAGTGTGACAACTTGAACTATTCTACTTTTGTACAACATCCCAAGTTGATAAGTCGGTCAGTTAGTCAGAAGTAGTCGTTTTGTATGAATATTGGGGCTTTCCCCGACTTTGAAATATTCCACTGTAAGACAATTTGCAGTAGCTAATAATAACATAATCGCAATAGGAATCCACCTAAAGAAGACAAATCTCTGTGTGTTCAGAAGTAATTTGTACAGCCACTTTTCCCTTCTTGGCCGTCGTTACATCGATGTGTCAACCGGACCACTTCGCCTCCCACCCCATAAACCTTTAAAAGTTAAAATATTGCCATTGTCCAAATTATTTTATTATTTTTTTTCTGACTACCTCATCTTTAATGACATGTTATCGTTGTAAACTTATTTTATTCTTTTGGTCACTTCATCCTTAGCTACAAGTTATCACTGTCCAAATCGCTTTATTTGCTTTAAAAATCTGTTACGTAATCAACCTATGCACATGCTTATTCGTTAATTGGTCTTCATTTCACCAAAAATACCCACTGAGTCATGGAAAGCATATAAGACAAATTCGGCGAAGAAAATTTCCTTTATCGACGAAATCATCTTCAGAGGCTGTACAGTTGTATATATATTTACTGAAAATGTATTTATTTATTGTATCCTTTAGTTCCTAGAGGAACATAGGGCTTCAGCTGCGCACCTCCATTGACTTCGGTTTTCTGACAACTTTTTCACCCTGCTCCAGGTCTGTCCACATGCTTTCATCTCTTCCTCGCATGACCTCCTCCAAGTCACCCTTGGACGACCAACTCGCCGCCTCCCTTTCGGGTTCCACTCGAGGGCTTGTCTAGTGATGTCACTTGATGGTTTCCTCAGCGTATGGCCAATCCATCTCCATTTCTTTCTGCCTATTTGTTTCACAATCGGTTCCTGATTGGTTCGCTCCCAGAGATCCCTGTTGCTGATCTTTTCTGGCCATCTGATCTTGAGTATTGAGCGGAGACAGTTGTTAATGAAGGTTTGAAGTTTGTTTGAGATGCTCTTTATGACTCGCCAAGTCTCTGATCCGTATAGTAGCACTGACTTCACATTGGAGTTGAAAATCCGGATCTTATTTTTGATGCTGAGTGCTGTTGACCTCCACACAGATTTGAGAGTAATGAAAGCTTGTCTTGCTTTTCCGATTCTGGCTTTGATGTCCTCGTCAGTTCCGCCTGTAGTTGAGACGATGCTTCCCAGGTAGGTGAAGGAGGTTGTTTCTTTCAGGTTCTTCCCATTTATGCTTATTGTGGTCTGTTGGTGTTGTTGATGTTGGCTAGGAATCTTCATCATCTCTGTTTTATCTATGTTCACGTGAAGTCCTATCTTTGATGCTTCTTCTGCCAACTTGTTACTTTTCACTTGCATATCTTCCAGTTTATGGGAAATCAGACATATATCATCGGCGAAATCCAGATCCTCCAAGTCTTTTGTGTCAGTCCATTTTATGCCTGTTCCCTCGTTGGTTGCCGTTGTCTGTCGCATTATCCAATCAATTGCAATCAGGAAGATCATTGGTGATAGTAGACAGCCTTGCCTCACTCCCGTCCTCACTTCGAAGGCTTCCGTAAGTTTCCCGTTGTGGATTACTTGGCATGCAGCATTGTCGTATAACTGTTGGATGAGGTGTATAATTGTCGATGGGACCCCGTAGTAGCGAAGTAGTTTCCAAATGACCTCTCGATCGACGCTGTCGAAGGCCTTTTCAAAGTCGATGAAGTTGAGATAGAGAGGTGACTGCCATTCCAAGCTTTGTTCAATGATGATCCGTAGAGTGGCGATTTGATCAATACATGATTTGTTTCTCCTGAATCCAGCCTGTTCCGGACGAAGTTTTTCATCTAGGGCTTGTTTGATTCTCTCCAGGATGATGCGACTTAGTATCTTGCTTGGAATGGACAGAAGCATAATTCCACGCCAGTTTTTACATTGACTTAAGTCTCCTTTCTTTGGAAGTTTGAATAAGTAACTGTTCTTCCAATCCTCGGGTACTTTGCCCTCTTTCCACACCTTCTCCAGTAGTGGTGTCATCAAGTCCGCTGTTGTCTCTGGGTCTATTTTCAAAGCCTCTGCTGGGATTCCATCTGGTCCCGGTGTTTTCCCAGCTTTAAGCATCTTGATTGCATTCAGGACTTCTGATTTCGTCGGGGGGTCAGTGTTCACTGGTAGTTCTGCTTCCGTTGTTGGTATTGCTGGACGTGTTGTAGGTGGCGGACGATTTAGAAGTCTTTTGAAGTGTTCAACCCAGTGCTTTCTCTGTTCCACCTCTTTGGTGATTGACTTTCCATTGTCGTCCTTTATTGGCTTAATCTGTGTCGAACGTTTGCCCGAAAGGTTCCTAGTTGTTTGGTAGAGTGTGGCGAGGTCTCCTTTGCCTGCAGCTTGTTCTGCTTCGTTTGCCATGGTTTCATAATATTTTCTTTTGTCTTCCCTGGCACTTTTCTTCACTCTTTTGTTCAGTGTATTGTAGCTTGCATTCAGCTCCTGTTTTTGTTGCTCGTCGGTGCACTGGATAATCTTTTGCTTCACTGTCCTTCTCTCTTCTATTAGTTTCCAAGTGTCCGTAGTGAGCCACTGTTTGTCCTGTCTCTTTTTTCTGCCTAGAATTTCTATGCAGGTTTGGCTCCACACCGTTTTCAAGTTGTTCCAGTGCTTTTCAACGCCGACCTCTTCGCTAGTGTTGATTTGTGTCTCAGCTTTGTCCTTTATGCTTGCAATGAAGATGTCCTTTGTAGCCTGGTCCTTCAGCTTTTGAGTGTTGAACTTGGCTTGTGGTCTATCTGCAGCTCCTGATTCCCTGAAAGCTTTTAATTTGATTTGGATTGTCCCTTGTACGAGATAGTGGTCTGAGCCAACGTCTGCTCCTCTTCTTGCTTTTGTGTCCAGTAGGCTGCGCCTCCACTTCCTTGAGATTGAGATGAAGTCGATTTGGTTTTTGGTTTGCCCGTCTGGTGACACCCATGTAGCCTTGTGGATATCTTTGTGCTTGTATACACTGCCACCAATCACCAGTTCGTTGAAGGCGCAGAAGTCGGCGAAGAGTTCTCCGTTTTCATTCATTTCTCCTAGAGCTTCTCTACCCATGATGAGTTCCCTTCCCGTATTGTCTGGTCCCAGTTTGGCGTTCATGTCTCCCATTAGTATTTTCATGTCGCCAGCTGGAGTATTGTCCATTGTTGCCTGTAGTTGCCTGTAGAATTCTTCTTTCTTCTCGAGGTCTGCGTTGTTTGTGGGTGCATAACATTGTATGATTGACACTTTCCTTCCTTTGGAGTTGAACCTGGCGGTCATTATCCTGGACGAAATCGCCTCCCATTGTATCAGGGCTTTCGTTGCCGTTGGTGACATCATGATAGCCACGCCCTCGGTGTGCGTGTGGTTGTATAGTCTATTATTCAGTAACAGGGGGTGACATAACTGATATAATTACTCAGAAGTGGCCTTAGGAGTAAAAAATAAAAATTGTAAACTGCGTGGTACTCAACGGCACAAAGTCAGAAATCTGATAAAGTTAAAGTTTCTAGTGAGTGAGAATAAAGGTAGTTGAGTGTCAATTCAACAAGTGTGAAGAGGGTGTGAAAAAGTACAAAAAAGAGCATGTGAGAGAATGATAATAGTGAATTATTTTTTAAAGTAAAAGCAAACTAAAAGTAGAATTCAAAATTAATAAACGGAGAGGGAAGAGGTTAGGACCAAAGTATGATAAGAGACTGGACAAACTTTCTCTGTATACACAGTGTTCAGGCTTGTATTGACGGATTGCCAGCGCTTCTGTCATACACAAAAGCCGAAAGCTGATGCCTTTTTTGCCATTTAGCCTCATCTCGTAGATGATCTTGAAAGACAATATTAATATACGTGTAAAACTTGGGCACTGTGGTAGTAAGCAATTCCATATTAGTGTGTTTATTAGATATATCACACAGTGAAATAGTATTATTTACTGGATGAATAATACTGTTTTACTGTGTGATATATCTAAAAAACAAACTAATATGGAAGATCTTGAAAGACGTTGCTGGTGGAGCTGCGTGGCTTGAGTTCACTAAGTGCTCGAAAAGTGAGCTAGTAATTGTCTTGCAATGTCCTTTTTTTAGCACAAAGCTCACACTTTCCTAAAACATCCCTGAACCTTATCCGGCATGGTTAGCAAAGGATTTCGGCTTTTGTCAATACAAGCCTGAACACTGTGTATACAGAGAAAGTTTGTCCAGTCTCTTATCATACTTTGGTCCTAACCTCTTCCCTCTCCGTTTATTAATTTTGAATTCTACTTTTAGTTTGCTTTTACTTTAAAAAATAATTCACTATTATCATTCTCTCACATGCTCTTTTTTGTACTTTTTCACACCCTCTTCACACTTGTTGAATTGACACTCAACTACCTTTATTCTCACTCACTAGAAACTTTAACTTTATCAGATTTCTGACTTTGTGCCGTTGAGTACCACGCAGTTTACAATTTTTATTTTTTACTCCTAAGGCCACTTCTGAGTAATTATATCAGTTATGTCACCCCCTGTTACTGAATAATAGACTACTATACATTTTCAGTAAATATATATACAACTGTACAGCCTCTGAAGATGATTTCGTCGATAAAGGAAATTTTCTTAGCTGAATATGCATGACGCAATCCATGTATTGCGACTATTTATACCTTTTAATTGTACATATTGATTTTCTTCGTTAATCACCACCCCATTGACATGTTCATACTGACTAATCACTGTTAACAAACACATTGTCACTTGATTGCTAAAGTGTTCTGTATTGTAATAAAAGTGCTGTATATATTAGAGTAGAACCAGAAATGAGGGTCATATTTAAAGTTAAATATTTCTTTGTATACAATTGGTGGATGCTGGCTAGCAGTGGAATCCAGGATGCGCATTTCGTCCTATTTGAGACTAGTCAGCTGGATGTACCTGCATTTCTCAGTGAGTGATGATGTTCCCACCGAGGCTCGAACCCAGTGCCCATAGTTTCAAACGCCAAAGCGTTATCCACTAGACCACTTGGGCCACGAGAGCCACCTCTTGTGCAACGGGTCATTTTAATTATTGAATTGAATTCTTGATTTTCCCGTCGATTGATTGGACCGAAGTGCTCGGTCTCAGGTTGACATGTCGTCTTCTTGTGCAGATGCTTCGACGATGTCTGGGGATTTGATTTGTAGACAATTGGTGGATGCTGGCTAGCAGTGGAACCCAGGATGCGCATTTCGTCCTATTTGGGACTAGTCAGCTGGATGTACCTGCAATTGATTGGATAATGCGACAGACAACGGCAACCAACGAGGGAACAGGCATAAAATGGACTGACACAAAAGACTTGGAGGATCTGGATTTCGCCGATGATATATGTCTGATTTCCCATAAACTGGAAGATATGCAAGTGAAAAGTAACAAGTTGGCAGAAGAAGCATCAAAGATAGGACTTCACGTGAACATAGATAAAACAGAGATAATGAAGATTCCTAGCCAAAATCAACAACACCAACAGACCACAATAAGCATAAATGGGAAGAACCTGAAAGAAACAACCTCCTTCACCTACCTGGGAAGCATCGTCTCAACTACAGGCGGAACTGACGAGGACATCAAAGCCAGAATCGGAAAAGCAAGACAAGCTTTCATTACTCTCAAATCTGTGTGGAGGTCAACAGCACTCAGCATCAAAAATAAGATCCGGATTTTCAACTCCAATGTGAAGTCAGTGCTACTATACGGATCAGAGACTTGGCGAGTCATAAAGAGCATCTCAAACAAACTTCAAACCTTCATTAACAACTGTCTCCGCTCAATACTCAAGATCAGATGGCCAGAAAAGATCAGCAACAATGATCCCTGGGAGCGAACCAACCCACCAGGAACCGATTGTGAAACAAATAGGCAGGAAGAAATGTAGGTGGATTGGATTGGCCATACTCTGAGGAAACCATCAAGTGACATCACTAGACAATCCCTCGAGTGGAACCCGAAAGGGAGGCGGCGAGTTGGTCGTCCAAGGGTGACTTGGAGGAGGTCATGCGAGGAGGAGATGAAAGCATGTGGACAGACCTGGAGCAGGTTGAAAAAGTTGTCAGAAAACCGAAGTCAATGGAGGTGCGCAGCTGAAGCGCTATGTTCCTCTAGGAACTAAAGGATACAATAATAATAATAATACAATCCTTCTGCTTTCTAAGTGTCTAAATGGAGATTCTTTCTATATTGAAATAATATAATAGTAGTTAAATGACTCGCCTAGTGGGACCCTAATAAGAAACGGTGAGCTGGGGAGAGTGACATGGAAGAGGTCGTACGAGATTGAGATGAGAGCTGATGGGCGACGGTTCAGTCAGCTAAAGAAGACTTGACAGAACAGGACAAAATGGAGACGCTCTGTTTATTCCTATGTTCCATTGAGAAATCGAGGGCATAGTAATAATCGTAATAAAGTGAGTGACTAACCTTTTAAATGAGCTGTCGAAGTAATTACAGTAGAAATATTATCAGGGAAACTGGATATCGATAATCTGTGATATTTCGTATTCATTATTCGATTTATCCATTCATTAACACGAATTATTGAACCTTTTCTGTCACCTTTAAATGGAACCTTAAATATTATTATTAGTATTAAATATTATTCTATTCAGTTTACTTTTTCAATTTCTGCTTTATATGTATCTAACAGTAATCTGTTAAAGTTTTCATCAATTTCAATCGATTTCGATATAAAAATACGATTTTTGATAGTTGATTGAATGCCTTCACCTGTATTAGAAATATTGCGTAATGCCTCTCGGATTATTTCATGGTAATCAAAGTCTTTGTTTAATTCCATTGCTTTGAATAATTCTGTAGCTGTTCTATTATTACTTGCTGAAAGTACAATGCATAACGCTGTACATATACCGATTGGTGATATAACTAGATTACTCATTTCATCTAATTAGTAGTATTAGTAGGTATAATGAGGTTAACCTACCACACTTGAATGCTAATAAATAATCATATAATTTATTTGAAAATCCAGGTATTATTTCTTTAATGAATTTGTCATCCATTTTTAAGGAATTTAGCAAGTGAAGTTATTCTACTAAAACAATGTTTGAACCCAACAGAAGTATATGGTATCCAGTTCCCAGGTGAAAATAATAACAGGAATTAATTTATATATCTGTAAGTATCTGAAAATATACATTAATATATGCATTATTTTTAGAAGAAGCAGATAGACAATAAAAGTATACCTTTTAAAAGCTTTGCCTTGTGTTTTTGTTGTCGTTATTATTGTAACAAAATCACACAGTTGACAAAAGTTACAAGATAACAGGAATTAAAGTGAACGTAGAAAAAGAACAGAGATGATGAAGATACCCAACAACTGACAACAAAAAAGCCTCAGTCACTGTCAGCGGAGTCGGTTTAAAGGAAACCATCTTCTTCACTGATCTATGCAGCATCATTTCAACTACAGGTAGCATCGATGAAGATGTCAAAGCCAGCCATGATCGGAAAAGCAAGACACACCTTGATTAATCTGAAATCAGTGCCCTTAGCATAATGAATAAGACATTGATGTTAAACACTAAACAGTTAACATTCTATAACTTTAAATAACTCTCCAAAATTATTGGTCTAAGGCATTCTTCACCCAACATCGGATGTTGATCATCACTGTTTAAATTAACCTGTTAGGCTGAAGGTTTGCAGTCAAGCAACCACGCCAGTGAGCACATTTTCGTGTTACATTCGGTCTTTGGTTCGTGATACCTAGCTAGCTAAGCAATCAAGACAGCACTACGATTCTGATCCCGTAATATATTTTGTATTTTTCACTATCAAATTATTGTTCTGATCTGCCTTTTCGTCTGAGCAGAACAATTGCTATGGCAGTTGAAGGATAAGAACTTTCGTTTGTATATAGTGTATACAAAGCGAATGTCAATGTACCTTCATACCCTAAAATTCATTCGAAGTCACTGTTTCTAAAGTCTGCTCCAAAAGTCTTTTCGTGTATTTCAATAGAAGAGTCATTCGGAGTGACATTAATAAAATCCTTACTCGTTATACAGTTCTAAAAGTATGGATAAGGATTGTTAAATTGACTAAATATATTATTCCCTTTCGACAGTGTTTATGGTTTGACAACTACTTCTGAGTATAATTCAAGAATGGAACGAGGGAACTAAGAGAAATTGTCCCGAAAACCCTGGTTAGTACTTTGGGTTATGTGATTTTAACTCCTACATGTCATTCATATTGACCTTAGTCACAACATAAAGTAATAGTTGTTTACGACTGGCCGAACAGGTTTAAACAAAGAGAAAAAAGTTAAAGCATAGCTTTTATCGTCACTGTCGTTAAGCTATAATTTCATATCAGAATGTTTGCTAGATTTCTATTATTTAAGCTATTCGAGTGTGAAGAAATGTTTCTTATTCTATGGTAAAAAGGCACCGAAGGTAAGTTGAAATGAAAGGAATCTCCTTAACGAGTAGCATTCTAAGCTGCTTCATCAAATACTCACACCGTGTAAACACCTTCTGACATTTGCAAGCCAATTTTCTTCACTGATAAACGTTAATTCCATACTTCATGAATCACTTCAAAACAAAAAGATTTTTAACAGCACAAGAAATCAGTTGGTCATTCAGACGCATTTTTAGTGCATTAGTCGCCATTAGTTGAACGTTAATGCTAACATTATATATATCTCAAGCCTGGAACAATTCTGAACTTATTATAACCTATTCTTCCATGATGTCTTTTTATGACAAATGAATATTTTATCTACCCACTATGTTCTGAAATAGCGCTGGTCGTGGTTGAAAAGAGAGCTGGGTGCTGGATTAAGTCTTTTCGCCCTGAAGTGACGGTAGTCCGTGCTTAATATGTCCTGTGAGGGTTGGAACAACGCTGATATGCAAACCGAGTAGGTTCTGATCTACTCCTGAAAATGCCTGAACACGGTGCTGAGTTAGTGCCAGTCATGCTGAAAATCAGCACTGATTTCTATGCTGTGCCACTACAGAATTCATTTAAGAACAGACTCAGAATTTATTCACTATAGAATGTTAGAATTATTTCATAATTAGTGAGATTTAATAAAGCATTATAATAAGCTTGTGACATATGTCACAAGCTTATATATATATATATATATATCACATGGGGAAACTGTTTTCTTTACTAGGTGTCGCACAAAAGGGAGTGAACTGGAACAAGAAGAAATTAGTACCTCATTATTCAAGACACTAAATTGTAATTGTAGTATGAAATTCTTGGTATAATCACTATGACAATCAGTAGGTCACTCACATCGAAATCTAATAACAAAATTCGTAAATTGCGGGCTTTCGCTTTAAATATTTGAGAACCCATAGTTGCGTCTCTATTTTTTTCCAGATATTTATCAACGGTCCTAGTTTTTCGACGGATTTGGATTCTGACAATGCGTTTTTTCTTGGCAGCTTTGGCTCTGAGAACTCATAAATTTGACGAACATTTAAGTTATCTTGGAAGGAAAGTGTTGTTTGTACTGAGTCTGTAGAGGTTGAGGAAAATCAATGAGCCAAAGCGGTTTCCCTTATAAGCCGAAAATACTCCTTAAAATGATATATTTTAATAGAATAAGTATAATAAGAGGACAAAAACATGTAGTAGATTGAACTAGAGTAGGAGACAAGTAACACAAAGAGAATAGAAAAATTGAGAAACAATCAGGACGAGATAAAATACAAACAGTCTGAATAAACGTCACAATGAATCGACCGAAAAGGTTGAACACACCCTCTACCATAGCACTGCTCCGTAACTAGACTATTTCTCATATAGATGTCTGCAGACATTTCGTTTTTGCACTATCTACATCGTACGGAATTAGGAAGTAGAGAAGGGGGCTTTGGGGACAATGGTTATCTCTGCAAAGCACTACGGGACACAAAGAAAAAAAACCTGATAATATTATGGCAGATATGCGAGTTGCCGTCCAGGATGAGACCGAAGCGGACAAAGCTTATGAAAAAAAAGTGAAAGCAAACTCAGTTACCTAGGAGAAGAAATAAAAGAAACACCGAGCTGATCATTTCAAACAAATCTTCAACCAACCGTTATCTGCGACTCGTTCATAAATACCAATGATAACCACATAAATGATGGTGAATGCAGGTCGTCTGACAAAGGCAGAAGTCTTGAATGCCATGCAGTTACTGAAAGTCAGACGAGGTAGCAATAATTATAAAGGATTCGGAAACTTCAATAGAAATCCTCACTCCATACATTACAGGGTTTGAAAGCAAAAGAAAGCACTCGCTGATTAGAAGATAGGGAGTAATTATACGGCATATCGCTTGTTTAAGATGGTGCTATCTTCGTCGAATAGGTATTAGGGGGTCTCAGTTTGTAGGCCAAAATATACCGGCATGATTTCACTTCTGATGAAATTTCATCTCAAATGCGTGAGAAAAATATAGTTTGTCATTAAACCACCATAGCAACAGGATGCGAAGCTAAAGTTGGCGAGAATATGATATGAAGCCACTCGAAGAAAGGCCATCTTTCCGAACTATCCGGTGGAGGTATGCTGAGTTTGTGCAGAAACTGGTATGGAATCATTTTGCCGCCACGCTGGGCGAAACGCGGAGTCCTGTCATTCTGGAAAGACTGAAATATGCTCCAGATACAAAACTCTGTGCAGCACTAGCTGGGCTCGAAAATAAAGTAGAAGTGGTATATCCAGTAGAAGGCAACTGCAGAATGCAAGATGAAGTGAATTTTTGTTGCTGAGGTGTTATTATACACTCGGCACCCAAAAGGTTAATAACATGATAAAAACAACAACAAGAAACTCCCTTCACGTTGCTAGATAGACGAACATTGAGTGCTTCGGCGGAGAGTTCCATCACTGAAAAGAATAGAAGTAGCTGCCCCTTGATGGGCCTACCCATTGCCGGTGTCTCAGAAGCAATAAATCTTCATCTAAGCGGTTAAAGTTTTGCATTATTTTGTAAGTCGTTATTAAGTTGCTCCTCCTACTGCTACGGCTCAGGTTCTAAAAACCTGGCTTCCGGGTTCTGGTATTCTATCTACTGAATTAGCTGCCTCTATCCGATTGTTCTCTAAGAAACTGGCTTCATATCTTACCAATATTGATGCAATAATCATCAGACTTTTAAGGAAAGAATCACAAACATGTTTCTCGCAACCACGTTTTGGCGTTCTGTAAAAATTTTATTCGAATCACTGATCTAGTTAAGTCTTCCTCCAGCGTGGAGGAATCTCCCTTGTTTCTGGTGAGCTTCCGTAACTTCAAATCTGCTGATAAGAGTGCAAGGTATCCACAATGCAGGACACGATGATCACTCAGAACTAATTAGTGATTGAGATAGTATGAGCGACTTTATTGCATGTCCCCGCAATGAAGCTTGTTGCTATGTTGTTATTGGTTTCAAGTGGCCTTGGTTTGGGGGGAAGATTTAACTGATATAATATTGCGATTTCATAGACATAACTCAGACTCATAGGTGAAAGAAAGTTATAATCCTGGAATAAGAGCAAGTTTTTCACAAGGTAAGGAGGACATTATTTTTCAGTTTATTTGTATATATACGTTTGTGCATCGAGTTGCACTGAGTTCTTAGTGCAACTGTATGTAACTACATTTACATAAAGTAAAACATTACGAATACTCCTGTTTTTAGAATAAAAAACACGATTATTTCCACTAAGCTTAGCACTGAAGAACGAAATTTCTTCCACCTCAGTGTCATATAATTGAAGCTGTAATCTCTGTAGGCCCTTAAAGGAATAAATTCGGCACGGAGAATTCCTATGGAAACTGAAAGAACTTTTAGTTTACTAAATCTTACTAACTTCCTTTATAAATTTGATATTTGTCAAGTGTTCATGTAAAGTCTGCTGTAGTATTCGGTAAAGTAAAAGTTGTAGTGCCTTATTCCCAGACTTGTCGTAGTCATTGGCATTGCCAATATACCGCTTACTCGTTTAATGCAGCCGAAATATCCAATTCTCACTTCATTGAGGAAACGCTATATTGCCTGAA